ACCACCACCATCACCACCACCACCACCACCACCATCACCACCACCACCACCACCACCACCACCACCACCCCTGGCACCACCACCACCCACCACCATCACCACCACCACCAGCCACCACCACCACCACCGCCACCGCCACCACCACCACCACCACCACCACCACCACCACACCACCACCATCACCACCACCCCTGGCACCACCACCATCACCACCACCACCACCCCTGGCACCACCACCACCACCCCTGGCACCACCACCACCCCCACCATCACCACCACCACCACCACCACCCCTGGCACCACCAGCACCACCACCACCACCACCACCACCCCTGGTACCACCACCACCATCACCACTACCTCCACCACCACCACCACCCTGGCACCACCACCACCACCACCACCATCACCACCACCACCACCATCACCACCACCACCACACCACCACCACCACCACCACCACCACACCACCACCACCACCACCACACCACTACCACCACAACCACCCCTGGCACCACCACCACCACCACCCCTGGCACCACCACCACTAGCACCACCACCACCATCACCACCACTACCACCACCACCACCACCACCACCACCACCACCACTACCACCACCCCTGGCACCACCACCACCACCACCACCACCACCAGGTGTAGTCTACATTATTCAGGTGTAAGCCGCTGCCCCGTCACCTGTAAAGGTGACCACCCACCACCCTCCTCACCCTTCACAACACGCGGGGCGGGGGTGGCGGGGCGGGGGATGGCGGGGCGGGGGGTGGCGGGGCGGGGTAGGGGGGCGGGGGATGGCGTGGCGGGGGATGGTGGGGCGGGGGGTGGCGGGGCGGGGGGCGGCGGGGCGAGGGGTGGCGGGGCGGGGGGCGGCGGGACGGGGGTGGTGGGGCGGGGGATGGCGGGGCGGGGACTGGCGGGGCGGGGACTGGCGGGGCGGGGGATGGCGGGGCGGGGTTGGTGGGCGGGGGATGGCGTGGCGGGGGATGGCGTGGCGGGGGATGGCGGGGCGAGGGGTGGCGGGGCGGGGGGTGGCGGGGCGGGGGGTGGCGGGGCGGGGTGGGGTGTGGTGGGGCGGGGTGTGGTGGGGCGGGGTGGCGGGGTGGGGGATGGCGGAGCGGGGGGTGGCGGGGCGGGGGATGGCGGAGCGGGGGGTGGCGGGGCGGGGGATGGCGGGACGGGAGATGGCGGGGCGGGGGGTGGGGGGGGGGGGGGGTGGCGGGGCGGGTGGTGGCGGGGCGGGGGGTGGCGGGACGGGAGATGGCGGGGCGGGGGTGGCGGGACGGGAGATGGCGGGGCGGGGGGTGGTGGGGCAGGGGGTGGCGGGGCGGGGGTGGCGGGGCGGGGGTGGCGGGGCGGGGGTGGTGGGGCAGGGGGTGGCGGGGCGGGGGTGGTGGTGGGGCGGGGTGGCGGGGGGGGTGGCGGGGGGGGTGGCGGGGCGGGGGTGGCGGGGCGGGGCGGGGGTTGTGGGGGGGGTGGTGGGGGGCAGGGGGTGGCGGGGCGGGGGTGGCGGGGCGGGGGTGGTGGGGCAGGGGGGGGGGCGGGGCGGGGGGGGTGGCGGGGCGGGGGTGGCGGGGCGGGGGTGGGGGTGGTGGGCGGGGGGCGGGGGTGGCGGGGCGGGGGTTGTGGGCAGGGGGTGGCGGGGCGGGGGTGGTGGGGCAGGGGGTGGCGGGGCGGGGGTGGCGGGGCGGGGGGTTGTGGGGCAGGGGGTGGCGGGGTGGGGGTGGTGGGGCGGTAGTTAACGAAGCACTTACGAACGTGTACATCTTTCCTCAATCTTTGACGGCTTTGGTTACATTTATTAAACAGTTTACAACCATGAAAACTTTCCAATCAACTGTTGTTATTGTTATAAACAGCCTCCAAATGTCATATTTCCTATACAAACTATATTATATATATCACATATTAACTATATTAACTATATCATATATTAACTGTAGAATGTATTATACTTATTATAAATTTACACAAAGTTTCGAACCTACATGGTTCATTCTCAAGTGACGAGACATGAAGGCTCATTTATGTAAGTAATTTACATAATTACATAAAGTAATTTATGTAAGGAAAATTATTAATAAATCAATAGAACCAAATATATACAAATAAAAGTGAAAATATACAAGAGATATACATAGAGATAAGATGGAGACGAAGATACAGCAAAGACTGATAAAGATACTAGAAAGACTGATAAAGATACTAGAAAGGCTGATAAAGATACTAGAAAGACTGATAAAGATACTAGAAAGACTGATAAAGATACTAGAAAGACTGATAAAGATACTAGAAAGACTGATAAAGATACTAGAAAGACTGATAAAGATACTAGAAAGACTGATAAAGATACTAGAAAGACTGATAAAGATACTAGAAAGACTGATAAAGATACTAGAAAGACTGATAAAGATACTAGAAAGATAAAGATAAAAAGATACTAGAAAGACTGATAAAGATACTAGAAAGACTGATAAAGAGAAAGACTGATAAGATACTAGAAAGACTGATAAAGATACTAGAAAGACTGATAAAGATACTAGAAAGACTGATAAAGATACTAGAAAGACTGATAAAGATACTAGAAAGACTGATAAAGATACTAGAAAGACTGATAAAGACTACTGATAAAGATACTAGAAATGCTGATAAAAGATACTAGAAAGACTGATAAAGATACTAGAAAGACTGATAAAGATACTAGAAACTGATAAAGATACTAGAAAGACTGATAAGATACTAGAAAGACTGATAAAGATACTAGAAAGACTGATAAAGATACTAGAAAGACTGATAAAGATACTAGAAAGACTGATAAAGATACTAGAAAGACTGATAAAGATACTAGAAAGACTGATAAAGATACTAGAAAGACTGATAAAGATACTAGAAAGACTGATAAAGATACTAGAAAGACTGATAAAGATACTAGAAAGACTGATAAAGATACTAGAAAGACTGATAAAGATACTAGAAAGACTGATAAAGATACTAGAAAGACTGATAAAGATACTAGAAAGACTGATAAAGATACTAGAAAGACTGATAAAGATACTGATAAAGATACTAGAAAGACTGATAAAGATAAAGAAAGACTGATAAAGATACTAGAAAGACTGATAAAGATACTAGAAAGAGATAAAGATACTAGAAAAGACTGATAAAGATACTAGAAAGACTGATAAAGATACTAGAAAGACTGATAAAGATACTAGAAAGACTGATAAAGATACTAGAAAGACTGATAAAGATACTAGAAAGACTGATAAAGATACTAGAAAGACTGATAAAGATACTAGAAAGACTGATAAAGATACTAGAAAGACTGATAAAGATACTAGAAAGACTGATAAAGATACTAGAAAGGCTGATAAAGATACTAGAAAGACTGATAAAGATACTAGAAAGACTGATAAAGATACTAGAAGACTGATAAAGATACTAGAAAGACTGATAAAGATACTAGAAAGACTGATAAAGATACTAGAAAGACTGATAAAGATACTAGAAAAAGACTGATAAAGATACTAGAAAGACTGATACTAGAAAGACTGATAGATACTAGAAAGTGATAAAGATGCTGATAAAGATACTAGAAAGACTGATAAAGATATAAAGATGCTAGAGACTGATAAAGATACTAGAAAGACTGATAAAGATACTAGAAAGACTGATAAAGATACTAGAAAGGCTGATAAAGATACTAGAAAGACTGATAAAGATACTAGAAAGGATAAAGATAAAGAAAGACTGATAAAGATACTAGACTGATAAAGATACTAGAAAGGCTGATAAAGATACTAGAAAGACTGATAAAGATACTAGAAAGACTGATAAAGATACTAGAAAGACTGATAAAGATACTAGAAAGGCTGATAAAG